ATTACTTGAATCAGAGAATCACAGATTCATTTAAGCTAGAAAAGAGCTCTGGGGTTTTCAAGTCCAACTGTTGACTGATCACCACCTTGTCAACAAGGCCATGGCACGAAAGTTCCAACCACATCCAGTGGTTTCTTGAACACTTCCAGGGATGGTGGCTCCACCACCTTCCTGGGCAGTCCATTTCAGTGTTGAACAACCCTTTCCATGAAGAAAGTCTTCCTGAAGTCCAACTTGAATCTCCCCTGGTGCAGATTCAAGCTGTGTTCTCTCCTCTTGTCATTAGTTTCCTGGGAGAAGAGGCCAACTCCCACCTTTCTGGTAGTTGTATAGGTCACCCCTAGGGGTAAAATGGGTCACCCCTTTTTTCAGGCTAAACAACCCCAGCTCCCTCAGCTGCTTCTCATAGAAGTTATCCTCTAGACCCTCCCCCATCTCCATTGCCTTTCTCTGAACTCATTCCAGCATGTAAATGTGTTTCTTGTAGTGAGGAGCACAGAAATGGACACAGTACCTGTGATGCGACCTCGCCAGTGCCAAATACAGGGGGACGATCACTGCCGTGGTCCTGCTGGCCACATTATTGCTGACACATGCCAGGATGCTGTTGGCCTTCTTGGCCACCTGGGCACACTGCTGGCTCATGTTCAGCTGCTGTTGACCAGAACCCCCAGGTCCTTTTCTGCCAGGCAGCTTTCCAGCCACTCTGCTCCCATTCTGTAGCACTGCCTGGGGTTGCTGTGACCAAAGTGCAGGACCTTGTAGAACTTCATACCACTGGTTTCAGCCCATCAATACAGCCTGTCCAGATCCCTCTGCAGAGCCTTCCCACTGTCCAGCAGATCAGCACTCCCACCTGACTTGGTGTCATCTGCGAATTTACGTTCAATCCCCTCATTTAGATCATCAGTAAAGATATTAAACAGGACTGAACCCAATGCAGAGCTGTAGGGAGCACCACTAGTGACTGGAAGATTCTCTGAAATTCTCTGTATCTAGTGGGGGAAAGATGTTTTCTGTTTGCTCCAAGGCAGAGCTCTCTGCTTCCCAATTCCAATCTTCTGGTAAGTCTGTAGTATCCTTTGCATGCTTATCATTCTTCTTTTTATTTACTTAGATGCAGGAAGGTCATTTTCTTGTGAAAGCTCCTGGAATCTGACAATTTTTCTTTTCTGTCTGTAATGGTACAGCTTTTTTGCCCATCTCAGAAGCTTTCCCTGTTCAGGTGTGAGTCAGATCTCACTACAGTGGTTGCTATGCTTGTCCAACAAGTTAACAAAGATGGGGAAAAAGAGGCTTTGAAAATGAGCCTGGATGATTAATAATTCTGTGAAAAATGTATTAGCCTGAGCTTCCTGGTAACTGTCATAAAGAGTAATTTTTTATGTCTAAAAATATAGATTAGGCAAGAGCTATTTATTTCATGAAATAACGTTGACTTAAGAAAAATTGGGTTCTAGAGACAATTTGGATAAATAAGGTCAAAACATCCAATAGCAATTTTTTTTTTCAGACACAGAAGTCCCATTTTTCAATTCAACAAACTTTGGGACTATAAAAACCAAAGTCATGCACTAGTTACAGGTACTGTGAAAATAGCAAACTCGAAGACTCTCCTAATATTGCAGTGGATCATGTGAACTGTAAATTAACTTGGGATATTGCTGCACAGAGCTGTAAAATAGTATAAGGAAATACACTCAACAGACCTGTGTAGCTGTTTTAAAGTACGGAATCCCAGAATGGTTTGGGTTGGAAGAGACCTTGCAGATCATCTAGTTCCAACTCCCCTTCCTTAGACCTTTCACTAGACCAGGCTTGAGCAATGGCAGGGAAGTCCCCTGCTCACGTAATTGTAAATATCTCTAGTTTCCAGGGAATTAGATTTACATAGGGAAAGGTGGTTACTGCAGCTTTCAGCATTATCATGCCTGATACTCCTGTGTAAATGTAGTTCCTAGTGCTTTTGGGGTGATAATCTAACTGTGATAAGAAATCACATTTATTTTTCCAGAACTGCTGAGACCCCTTAATTCCTATTACTGGGAAAGAATGCTATGCTATAGGTGAAGTTTGGATAGGGAAGAGAAAAAGATAGGGCTGGATTTGTTTTAATTTCTGTCGCTGAGGTATGACAGAGTTGAAGCAGTGCCACAGCACAGGCTGTTCTTCCAGAGCAAAGATGCCGCATTTCAGAGGCTCTTTAAGAGCTGTGGAGGACTAGGAGAGGCTGAGGCTTTGTTAGATGGCAGGAACAGCAGTCTGAAGCTTTCTCTTGCAGTTATAAAATTAATTGGGGTTATATAGAGGACATAATAATGTATGCATGGATATATTAGCAAGCCACGTAAAATTTAATCTCGCATCCTTTTCTTTGCTTACCCTGACTACATGTTATAAGTATAGCTAATCTGCATGAAGCATTTTTTATCCCCGGGGTGGCTCAGCCGAATAGCGATGATCTTATAAGAGTACTTTTGATCTCTGCCCTGGTAGCTTCCCAGCTTTTGTGTTTTGGAGTTGGTTTTGTTTTGTCTTCCCCCCCCTCCCCCCCCTTTTAGTATGCAGTTATTGGCAAAGCCCCATGCTGCAGTTAGTCTGTTAGAGAATTCCACTGAATATTCAGTAGGTTGCTTCATTAAGATACAACACTTGTTACATGTTTAATCATGTACTGCTTTTCTCTATCTCCTACTGTAACAGCAGATAAGCATATATCATAGATCTGTGTCTGTGATTTATGTTTTTTAATATAAAAATGAAATCAGATTAAAAAGAGACAAAGGAAGCTCACAAATGTGCCTGTGTCTGTTCCTGCTTACAGAAGTGGCTAAAGTAGCTCTGAATTCTGATTTTATTTCATTATGTTTCAAGTCAAAACAAGCAGTTTATAAATTAGCATTTTGAGTAATATTTTGTGTCTCATTTTCACGAGGTCGGGACTGTCTTCCATTTTTGAGTCCTTGTCTTACTCTAAAGAAAGTCCTAAAATGGTGCAAAACTTGAATGTTATAGTGAAGAACTGTTATTAATAAAGGATACTTTCTGTTGGTTTTGTCCTCATAGCTAAGTCCATTGTCTTGTGGGTTTAATGTTTTGCCTTGGCTTTCTGACTGATAGCTTTTCACATGATTTATGTAGTTGCAGGAGAGTATTTTTTTATCTTTCCAGCTTCTGACAGACTAAAAGAGAAACTAAATAAAATTGCTTTTGTCAGTAGGTGATTTAATTGGAGAAATCTCAGCAAGTTAACATAAATCCCTGGCACTGCAATCCTTTATTTTTTGGCAAAATAAATGATGGCCTCTGATGGACACCAGCAAAACAAATTCTGACAGTATCTACTAGTCCGTTATATGTTGTTAGACTTGCCTGAAGAATGAGAAGAGGAATTTTCAAAGGAGTTTGAAAATATTTTCAGGCTATGGACCTTGTTTATTTTATATGGGTCTCCTAGGTATTGCAGGTCTTTTCAAATGTTAATCTGAATTGCTGTTTCAGGAGATTTTCTCTTTTCTTGATCTACTGGGTCCTTTATCCATTAGTATTAATTAGCTGCTTTATCTTTTTATTCTTTTTGGATAGCAGACTTTGTTTTAAGGATAGTCTTGTTTCTGAGTATTATTTTTGGGGAAAAAAAAAAAGCCTGCTATATTGCAAATATTTTTGGCCATGTCTCTCACTTACAATCAAGAAAATAAGAAATTCCAAGAATCATTTTTTCTCATTATCTTTCTGTAATGTTTTTCATAGTTATTCCTTGCTTCCCTGTAATTCACTGAGCTGTTATTATCTTGATATGTTGATCATATGAAATACTCACAGAATATAAAATAAATAGAGAGATGGGCTATTATAAAGGAGGGGGGGTGTTTCCAACTGAAATAAATAAATTATATGCAATAAATCCATGGAATAACTACTAGATGCTGCAAACATAAGATTTGTATGTTCTGCCAGTTCCTTTCTCCAAGGCTAGAAGTACCAGAATATCAGTATATTTGTAAAGTATCTGTAATGATGTTTGCCACCTTTCCAAAGTGTTTTGTGACCTACTGCTGAAAAGTGCAATAAAGCATCTTGGTGTTATTAGTCAGACTGTAACAGAAGGGATTTTTCTCAGATATGTCAGACAGGTTTAACACCAGTTGTTTCCCTAAGCTCAGTAGCTGAAATACCCTTCTGTCAGACTTCAGCTACTACTGACACTTGGGAATGTACTCAACATTTTAAATGAAGCACTAAACTGCCATAATCCCCTTTCACTGAGGAATACACTGATAATTCACTCACTCAATAGAAGACATATGTGTTTATACATGCAGTGATGTGACACATCAAGAATGTTCTGGCTTTTGTCAGTATCAGGTGTAAAAGCAAACAGAAGTTTGCATTTCCAGGAGCTCTGAATGAGTGCAGCCTCCAGGATGAAGAGGACAGAATCTCTCTAGTCAAACCTTATGAAAGAATATCTTGGCAGCCTGACTAAGAAGTGCTTAAGCTAATACAAATGCTATTTCCAACATTTTTAAACTCCTGGTTCTCCTGGTTCTTATTTCATCTCACTGTAATGTAGTTTTGTGGACTGTGGAGCTGTGAAAAAAACAACAGAATTTGGACATTTCAAAGCAAAACAGAACTGGCTATTATTTTCCGAATCATTTTCAAGAATCAAGTGTAAATAAGAGTTTTTAACACTATTATTGTGCAACATCTTTACAATCTTATTATTGTGTGATATCATCTCTCTTCCCAGGAACGAGATGATCTTTAATGTCCCTTCCAACCCAAACCATTCTATGATCCTATGATTCTGCGATCTTGGGATCAATAGCTAATTGAGACTTCTCAAAATAATTTTAAATGCTTTTTGACATTTAGTTCCTTTCATTCTCTCTATTTCAGAAGATCATGTTACTAGCTTTCTAATAATCTTTAAATATTGCTACTGAAGCTGATGCAATTGGGGTAAATGTCAAAAAACAGTCAGGCATAATGACTCAGGTGACTTTTTTAAGATCTACACTGTTTACTAACTTGATTTCTCACAGTACTGTCTTTCTCATTCCCGTCATGTTGTTCCTCTTTTCCGTAGTTAATCAGTGCTCCTTTTTCCTGCTCCTTTTTCTGAATTACCTTCGGGATCCATTCCTGTATTTGTCCTTTTCTTACTTTTCTCTTATATCCATTCCTACACCTACACATGGATCTTGTTAATCCTGCAAGCCACCCATGAAGTACAAGTTTGTACCAGGGAGCTGTTAATGTCTAACGATTGATGGCCTCGTGTACAAGACAATTGCACTCTTATTGATTGTTTTGCTTTTTAGCTCCTTTAGAGAACAGGAGACACAGTTCTCCCTGTCTCCCCTTTGTCATACATGGTCTTTATGGACAATTTCTGTTATTTGTCTTGCTGCTAAAAGATGGGTTCTCCCTGAACAAAAGCAATGTGAAATATAGTTGAATATTATCAAGTCTAGTGGATCTCAGTTTCCACTGAAATGGCAGCACTCTGGGCAGGTTTTATTCTACTAATACTTACAGAAACTCTAAGCCACATAAAATGCAATTAGTTTTTTCAGCCAACAAACTCAAGCACATCAAATTGCATCTGTTATCTTCCAGATGTGAACAGAATCAGACTTTTCAATACACAAGAGCTAGAAGATAGCTTTTTAGGTTAAAGTGTGTTCTGTAGAAAATGACTGCATTCTCAAAGAAAGTCTACTACATAGCTGATTTTTTCAAAGCCTTCCTTCCTTTACAGTTTTAATAAGCATCTGCCTGAATTGCTGCATTGGATTTAATCAGCCCTTAGTGGTTGAAGTTTGTGCTTCCAAATAAGAAAAATCATTAAACCTGATAATAGACTTAAAAAAATTATTATAATTGATAACATGATATTGGAAAGGCTAAAAAGAGTATTGGTGTTTACAGCAAAAACCAAATTTTTACATTGAAGTCAGTGTCACAAATCGTGTCTTTGATCAAGTAGATGAGTAAATGCTAAGCAGGGAAATAGAATTTTCAGTGATAGTACATAGCATGTGAATATAAAGACTTATATTAATTACTGGGAATTGGCCAAAATAATGCAAAGTTAACAACTTAACACTCTGGTCTCTTAGAGTCATCAACCAGCTTCTGAAGGCCACACTTGCATATGGTTTCACATTCAAATTGCTGCTATTTCCTCTTCAGCAGTCATTAGGTACTTTCTTTTACTATTTTGTAACAAATCTACAGATTGAGGGGATCTGAACTGAATTAGAGGTTTCAGCAGAAACTGGTTTGTTTTCCTAATTATTATTTTCATAATTTTACTTCTGCTTAGAAAAGGCATTATTTTTTCAGTGTCCTTGAGATGTTGATATCTACTTAAGGCAAATGGGAATGAGTACAGTAAAGTTAAGAAAAAAGCATTTCTGTATTGCTTGTACTTTACTAATACCTGTAATGTTGGAGAATGTCTGAAAAACTGGCTGAAATCACTTCCCTGGGGAACCTGTTCCAGTTATGTTTCTAAATAGAAGAGAAGCAGTGCTGGGCAAAGTGGTAGAGCATCAATATGTAAGACCATTATGACGGCTAAACTAGTGAAGTGCTGGAATTACTTTGGAAAACTTTGTTTGCATTCCCTATTCTCCTTCATCACTTTGTATACTGGGAATTTCCACATTTATACCTTTGAAGGACTGTGTGTTTCTTTGTTTACAGGCTGTACCTTCCTCCTGTGGAGACTGCAAAGTCAAACTCACTTTACAGGGTAACTGCAGAGAAGTAGGATAGGTATTTCCTAATATTTGGATGTTAGTGAAAACTTTGCCACTGAAAGAGTGGTCAAGCATTGGAACAGGCTGCCCAGGGAAGTGGTAGAATCACTATCCTTGGAAGTGTTCAAAAAACATATAGATGTAGTACATAGGGACATGGTTTGGTGGTGGACCTGACAGTGTTATGTTAATATTTGAACTCGATGATCTTATAGTCTTTTCTAGCCTTAGTGATTCCATGTCTCCCAGTACAGATTTATCTTTCAGTCAAGAATGACTTAGAAACTCTCTGTACTCAATTGGACTATAGAAAGCCATCGATACATACATCTATGGCTTTCCACCTTTCATAGATTGACCTTATCACCATACCTTTTCTTCTCATACTTTCTTGCTGAAGCAGGATGACTCAGCAGCTGACCTCCTATGCCAGGTCTTTGTCTCAAACCAAGGAGGATCTGAGCCAGTTTGGAACTACATGAAATGCATCAGGGTAGAGGAACAGGCTGAGGAAAATCCAGTTTGGACTTTTCCTCTCTCACTCTGACTGTCTCTGCAATTTTTTTCCTTTCTTGCTTCCAGTACAAGATTTTTGTCAGAAAATTTATTTTACAAAGACTTTGAGTGTGAGGAACTATGAGAAGGGAGTTTTGCAGTCAGTGGCTGAAGTGCACTGATATGTGCATCTGGGGGGAAAGAGGAACAAAATGTTAAAATAAGAGGGGTATTTGAAAATAATTTAGAACCTATATTTTGCTACCTTACAGCCTTATTTGACTTTGTAATTATTCATCTTCTCACACCCAGATCAGTGGCATATCTGCAATGTTGTTTAAATATATTTCTTTTGACAGTGTGGTAATCCTAGGGGCGAATATAGTAATATTAGGGATGAATACTAGAGTATCTGCCATAAACCTGCTATCGTAACATGCATAGAGATCATCTTACCTTTTCTGGTTTTTAACTCAGTTATAACTATCTTAATATAGATAATTCTGGCAATTGGAACCCAGGTTTTACTCCAGTTATTCAATTAAGCTGAAATTGCTTGTAATGTAGTACCATAATTGTAGGAGAGGCATCATTGCAAGATGGTAAGTAGGTGAGATACTAATTAAATTCTTCTGAACTCCAGTAATTTAATATTCAAAGGAGGCTGAGCCCATATAGTAGCTGCTCATTGCATTGCCTCTGGGGATGACAGAGGAAGAAACCTAACAAAAATAGCAACCCCCAAATGATTTTTGCTGGACTTCTCTGACTGAAATTTTGATTTTTTTAGTATTACTCCACCATTCTAGATACAAACACGGTGGGTCATATCCCTCTGTGGGTGAATGCCGTGCAGACTTCACTTGGATCATGTGTGGGTGGATAAGTACAAAATTTTCCCAAACACTGCTAAACCCGGGGGTGGCGGTGGTGTTTATATATAATCTTGAAAAGCTTTTATATTCAGGCTTTTGGGAAAAGTAGGTTTCAGCCTAATTTAGGCAGGAATACATCTCCCTTTGATTTTCAAAGAAGTGTAAGTCACAAACCCTTTTAAATTCTTTTTGAGAATCTCATCTGATAATAAAATGAGAGGTGTGGGACAGGATGAAATTCATCCATTCTTGGAGTCATCATCCTGTAGCACAGCTCACATTATTTCAACTTTGCTACATCAAGATTATTGACCAGGTTAGTGCAGTCCTTCCAGTTCCTGAATACATCAAAGCAGATGTGCCACTGCCCTTCGCATTATAGCTATCAGCAAGACTGGTCTGGAAATTCCCCCCTAGATGCGTATTCTTTCCAAGCCTCTTAATTCAATCTGAATGATGATGATGATAATTTAGGTTATAGTATTACCAAGGGGCTGTGATAGCAGTGCAGGGTTCCATTGTCCCAACCATTACATAGACAAGGAAAAGCTTTAATGTTGTGATACCACAGAGTTGCCCAGGCTAAAACCAATTCAAATGAGCAGAAATTAATAGGAATCCCTGTGTATATTCAAATCTTATCTAATAATCTACCTATTATAATCAAATTATATCTTTTTAACTACTGTATAATTCTTTTGTAATTTCTTTAGCTAGAGATGTTCGTATCTTGAGGCTGAATTACAGATCAGTGCTATCTTGTTACATTTATTGGCTTTTTCTCATCAACACTGCACTGATGCTTTACATCTCACTGAGAGAGAAATACATGGACCAATACATATTTTGAAAAAAAATCAAAATAGCAATCCTTGGTGGATGGAAAATTTTTCTGAGAATAGAGTAATTTTTGAACTAAAGGGACCTAAAAAGTAAGAATCTGCCAGGATTACCTGATATAGAAATTAACCCCCTAACTAACATACCACCACTTACTTACTGTGTTAATCAATTAATATCCTTGATTTAATTCTCCACATGTGTTTAACTGAGTTGATGAGTGTTACTATACTTTAAATTAGATTAATCATAATGGTTAGTATAAATGATTTTTCTTAATTATGGTAGGGTGAATGCTTTATTTAGAGGCTTGAGATGTAATATAACAAGATTTGGCACATCATCATGGGGACCCTTTTTTCTCAGGGACACCCATCTCCACCTCTCTTCTCACAAACTCCTTCTGTTGACCTGCTAGTTGTGATACTGAAGACCTATGATAAGTAGACTGTCAAATTCAAATTCTCCATAATTTTATTTATTTGAGTATTCTAATTATTGAGTATTCTAATTATTGTTTAGTCTGACACACTCTTCCTTCTGAAAGGACTGGTGAATAGCATCATGGTGTACTCTAATTTTTCTCTGTCAGTGTCTTGGGGGCTGCAGTGTCATTTTAACCTGTGATAAGATCTTATTAAGATGAAATAACTTAACAATTTGATACGTAAACAGGAAAACCATTAGGGCAACACATTATGTAATGTTGAGATGCAGAAGTTGCAAAAAGTCCTTATACTCTGGAAATGCTTTCTCTTCTCTGAGTATTGCCTGTTTCTTTGGTCAGGCAGTGTCTTTCCCAGCTTTCCTTTCTCTTTAACACATGTGGTCTGAATGACTGTAGGTAAGGAGAAGATTGATTTGCTGAGGGGCATAGTGGCTACCCAGGCAGCTGCATCTGCATCTGTGGCAGTCTGGGACAAGAATGATCACGTGAGAAAAAAAGGAAAAATGTGGAGAAGACTGGAAATCATAGTTTTAATGCTTTTAATCCCACCTCCATACCCAATTTAGCTTTTCTA